CTTAATGCTTAGTTCAGGTGGGAATAACAACCCACTTAGTGCTTAGTCCAAGTGGGAATAACAACCCACTTAATGCTTAGTTCAGGTGGGAATAACAACCCACTTAATGCTCTAGTTCAGGTGGGAATAACACCTACAACCCACTTAATGCTCAGTTCAAGTGGGAATACACACCCACTTAATGCTAGTTCAGGTGGGAATAAAACCCACTTAATGCTTAGTTCAAGTGGAAATAACAAATTGATGCTTAGTTCAAGTGGGAATAACAACCCACTTAATGCTTAGTTCAGGTGGGAATAACAACCCTAACAACCCACTTAATGCTCAGTTCAAGTGGGAATAACAACCCACTTAATGCTTTAGTTTAGGTGGGAATAACAACCCACTTAATGCTTGTTCAGGTGGAATAACAACCCACCTGTGCTTAGTCCAAGTGGGAATAACAACCCACTTAATGCTTAGTTCAAGTGGGAATAACAACCCACTTAATGCTTAGTTCAGGTGGGAATAACAACCCACTTAGTGCTTAGTCCAAGTGGGAATAACAACCCACTTGATGCTTAGTTCAAGTGGGAATAACAACCCACTTAATGCTTAGTTCAGGTGGGAATAACAACCCTAACAACCCACTTAATGCTCAGTTCAAGTGGGAATAACAACCCACTTAATGCTTAGTTCAGGTGGGAATAACAACCCACTTAATGCTTAGTTCAAGTGGGAATAACAACCCACTTGATGCTTAGTTCAAGTGGGAATAACAACCCACTTAATGCTTAGTTCAGGTTGGAATAACAACCCACTTAATGCTTAGTTCAAGTGGGAATAACAACCCACTTATGCTTAGTTCAGGTGGGAATAACAACCCACTTAATGCTTAGTTCAAGTGGGAATAACAACCCACTTGATGCTTAGTTCAAGTGGGAATAACAACCCACTAATGTTAAGTTAGGTTTCAGGGGGAAATAACAACCCACTTAATGCTTTAGTTCAAGTGGGAATAACAACACCACTTAATGCTTAGTTCAAGGTGGGAATAACAAACCCACTTAATGCTTAGTTCAAGTGGGAATAACAACCCACTTAATGCTTAATTCAAGTGGGAATAACAACCCACTTAATGCTTAGTTCAAGTGGGAATAACAACCCACTTAATGCTTAGTTCAGGTGGGAATAACAACCCACTTAATGCTTATTCAAGTGGGAAACAACCCACTTAATGCTTAGTTCAAGTGGGGAATAACAACCCACTTAATGCTCCAGGTTCAAGTGGAATAACAACCCACTTAATGCTTAGTTCAAGTGGGAATACACCCACTTACACTCTCTCACACTTCAAGTGGGAATAACAACCCACTTAATGCTTAGTTCAAGTGAATAACAACCCACTTAATGCTTAGTTCAAAGTGGGAATACAACCCCTTAATGCTTCAGTTCAGGTGGGATAACAACCCACTTGATGCTTAGTTCAAGTGGGAAAGTAATAACAACCCACTTAATGCTCAGTTCAAGTGGGAATAACAACCCACTTGATGCTTAGTTCAAGTGGGAATAACAACCCACTTAATGCTTAGTTCAAGTGGGAATAACAACCCACTTAATGCTTAGTTTCAAGTGGGAATAACAACCCACTTAATGCTCGTTCAAGTGGGAATAACCACTCTTAGTTCAACAACCCACTTAATGCTCAGTTCAAGTGGGAATAACAACCCACTTAAAGCTTAGTTCAAGTGGGAATAACAACCCACTTAATGCTCAGTTCAAGTGGGAATAACAACCCACTTGATGCTTAGTTCAAGTGGGAATAACAACCCACTTAATGCTCAGTTCAAGTGGGAATAACAACCACTTAATGCTTAGTTCAAGTGGGAATAACAACCCACTTAATGCTCAGTTCAAGTGGGAATAACAACCCACTTGATGCTTAGTTCAAGTGGGAATAACAACCCACTTTCAAGTGCAAGTCAGTTCAAGTGGGAATAAAAACCCACTTAAAGCTTAGTTAAGTGGGTAAACAACCCACTTAATGCTTAGTTCAAGTGGGAATAACAACCCACTTAATGCTTAGTTCAGGTGGGAATAACAACCCACTTAATGCTTAGTTCAAGTGGGAAAAACCAACAACCCACTTAATGCTTAGTTTCAGTTAAACAACCCATTAATGCTTAGTTTCAAGTGGGAATAACAACCCCACTTAATGCTTAGTTCAAGTGGAATAAAACCCACTTAATGCTTAGTTCACAACCCACTTAATGCTTAGTTCAAGTGGGATAACAACCCACTTGTGCTTCAGTGGGAATAACAACCCACTTATGCTTAGTTTCAAGTGGAATAACAACCCACTTAATGCTTAGTTCAAGTGGGAATAACAACCCACTTAATGCCTTAGCTTCAAGTGCTTAATGCTTAGTTCAAGTGGGAATAACAACCACTTACTTAATGCTTAGTTCAAGTGGGAATAACAACCCACTTAATGCTTAGTTCAAGTGGGAATAACAACCCCTTAATGCTTAGTTCAAGTGGAATAATAACAACCCACTTAATGCTTAGTTCAAAGTGGGATACAACCCACTTAATGCTTAGTTCACTGGGAATAACAACCCACTTAATGCTTAGTTTTCAAGTGGAATAACAACCCACTTAATGCTTAGTTCAAGTGGGAATAACAACCCACTTAATGCTTAGTTCAACGTGGGAATAACAACCCACTTAATGCTAGTTTCAAGTGGGAATAACCACTTAATGACAAGTGGGAATAAACCCACTTAATGCCTAGTTCAGTTGGGAATAACAACCCACTTAATGCTTAGTTTCAAGTGGGAAATAACAACCCACTTAATGCTTAGTTCAAGTGGGAATAACAACCCACTTAATGCTTAGTTCAAGTGGGAAAACAACCCACTTAATGCTTAGTTCAAGTGGGAATAACAACCCACTTAATGCTTAGTTCAGGTGGGAATAACAACCCACTTAAAGCTTAGTTCAAGTGGGAATAACAACCCACTTAATGCTTAGTTCAAGTGGGAATAACAACCCACTTAATGCTTAGTTCAAGTGGGAATAACAACCCACTTAATGCTTAGTTCAGGTGGGAATAACAACCCACTTAATGCCTAGTTCAAGTGGGAATAACAACCCACTTAATGCTTAGTTCAAGAGGGAATAACAACCCACTTAATGCCTAGTTCAAGTGGGAATAACAACCCACTTGATGCTTAGTTCAAGTGGGAATAACAACCCACTTAATGCTTAGTTCAAGTGGGAATAACAACCCACTTAATGCTTAGTTCAAGTGGGAATAACAACCCACTTAATGTCAAGTTCAGGTGGGAATAACAACCCACTTGATGCTTAGTTCAAGTGGGAATAACAACCCACTTAATGCTTAGTTCAAGTGGGAATAACAACCCACTTAATGCCTTTAGTTCAAAGTAAATAACAACCCACTTAAATGTTAAGTGGAATAACAACCCACTTATGCTTAGTTCATGGGAATAACAACCCACTTAATGCTAGTTCAAGTGGGTAACAACCCATTAATAGTTCAAGTGGGAATAACAACCCCTTAATGCTTACTTCAAGTGGAATAACAACCCACTTAATACTTAGTTCAGTGCCGGCACCATACAACCACTTATGCTTCGTTCAAAGTGGAATAACAACCCACTTATATGCTTAGTTCCAGTGGGAATAACAACCCTTTAATGCTTAGTCCAAGTTAAACACCCACTTATGCTTAGTTCAGGTGGCGAATAACAACCCATTAATGAGTTCAGTGGGAAATAACAACCCACTTATGCTTAGTCCAAAGTGGGATCAGCCCTACCTTGATGCTTAGTTCAAGGTTAACAACCCACTTAATGCTTAGTTTCAAGTGGTAATAACAACCCATTGATGCTTAGTTCAGGTGGGAATAACACCACTTGATGCTTATCAAGTGGAATACAAACCCACTTAATGCTCAGTTCAAGTGGGAATAACAACCCACTTGATGCTTAGTTCAAGTGGGAATAACAACCCACTTAATGCTCAGTTCAAGTGGGAATAACAACCCACTTAATGCTTAGTTCAGGTGGGAATAACAACCCACTTAATGCTTAGTTCAAGTGGGAATAACACAATGCTTAGTTCAAGATGCTTAGTTCAAGTGGGAATAACAACCCACTTGATGCTTAGTTCAACTGGGAATAACAACCCACTTGATGCTTAGTTCAAGTCTAATATCAATATAGTTATATAGTTATAATTATATATATCATTATAATATAATAATTATATATATCAATATAGTTGTATAGTTATAATTATAGTTATGATGATAATATGAACCATAAATTTAATACTGAATTCTAGCTCGCGAGATTCTTGTCCTTGGATCGTTACCAACTACGCTTTTCGAATTTCTTTTTTTTTTGTCGTATTTTCTCTTTTTTTCTTCTTTTCGGTTTTGGTGCGAGGATAATTGATATGAAATCTGATGTAGGATTTTAGGGAGGGATTCCAATGGGATTTGTATGGAATTTGCAAGGTTGAATTTGACGCGAATTGTGTATAGAATATGATTTAGGAATGCGGGAGTCACACACACACACACACACATGCACACACACACACACACACACACACACATACACACACACACACACACACACACACACACACACACACACACACACACACACACACACACACACACACATCCTTATCTGTCTATAACCTCAACTTCTCAGTATTTCTTTCTATTTCTCTCTCTCTCCTTTATCGAGTTTTCTTCACCTAAGATAAGAGCGAAGAAATACAGTTATATATGCATTGTCTTCGTAAGTCTGTAAATTAACCTTATAAATTCATGGACAGTTTATAGTTATTTAAAAGATCACATGAGACAACTAAGATGGTCACCTACGCTAGTCTCACTGTTATAAGTGTTGTTAAATTACTTACACAAGGCACTATGCACTTGTATTTAGTGTTTGAAATCCTCGTCGAATAAATAATCATTGTTTTGATTTCATTTCATTTATTTATTTTCTTACACACACTTGTATATTACAGATATTTTGACATTGGTATTTCAACATTTGCTTCTATAATCAACTTGCATTTTCTTGTATCTTTGAAGAAAATTTATGTTAAATGACGGTCATGTATTCATATCATTATATCATTCGTTTTAATTTCTCAAAAAGTTTACAAAAAACAGTCAAATATGTCTAGAAAAATCTTAGCAGTTGTTCAGAGGTAACAGTATGAACCCATGAAAAAAATAAAATGAAAAAATACATAAAATAAAAGAAATCTACCATTACATTAGGGTAACACGACCAATATAGAGATAAATAAATGCATGAATTAAATAGACATACTAGACGACCATAGAAAACGTGAGTTGATCAAGGGGTGACTAAGGAAAAAAAATTCAAGGACCCCCCTCCTCTCTCCCACTTTCTGTGGTATTATACGAGGTGTGGTTTGGCTTCTTCCTCGGTGACCAGACCTGCTTTGAGAGCTTTCTGAATGAAGTCTTTCACAGCGGCGTTCACAACACCGGATTTGCTGCGGGTGTTGGCTGCAAGGGAGAACAGAACGGGAAGTTAAGGCTAAAGGAAGTTTGTATTGTATTACTCCATCTTTCTGTCGTATGAGATGTTGTATTCTTGTGCCCTGTATTTTTGTAATTTATTCTGTGTTATTATACCTCGTTGTATTATATGTCACTATATTGTGTTAGTAAAACTACATTATGTATATTACATGTTACGGTTATCCTAGCTGGAATTGTACACACACACACACACATATATGTGTGTGTGTGAGTATGTGTGTGTGTGTGTGTGTGTGTGTGTGTGTGTGTGTGTGTGTGTGTGTGTGTGTGTGTGTGTGTGTGTGTGTGTGTGTGTGTGTGTGTGTGTGCGTGTGCGTGTGCGTGTGCGTGCAAAATATCATTATCATTACTCTTATTATCATTACTATTACTACTTTTATCAACATCATCAATATCTCATCATGACACCCTCCTCATCTACAAATACCCGACTCAGCTGACTCGACCAAAAAAGACTCTCCGGCACTCACACTCTCCCCTGAGCGTAGTCCAGCCCGGACACGTGACGGACCCGATGAAGTAGAGTTCAAAGCCGTCAATATCCGGCTTGACATTGTAGGTGCAGGAGTGGCCAACGAGGTCAATGTCACCGGTTCTCCATAGACTGTGGAGGGAAAGGGAGGGAATGAGGACTATGGGATAATGGCGGAGGTGGGAGGAGAGAGAGAACGAAAGTAGTAAAGGGTTAATAGCGGGGGAGGGAAGAGAGAGAGAACGAAAGTAGTAAAGGGTTAATAGCGAAGGTGGGAAGAGAGAGAGAACGAAAGTAGTAAAGGGTTAATAGCGAAGGTGGGAAGAGAGAGAGAACGAAAGTAGTAAAGGGTTAATAGCGAAGGTGGGAAGAGAGAGAGAACTAAAGAATGAGAGTTAATGGCAGAACGTGACTCAGAATGTGGTTCTCCTATTTCTCATGATTCTTAGTAAGGAGAAAAATGGTGACAACAATATTGACAATAAGGAGAAAAATGGTGACAGCAATATGGTGTACAAAGAAAGGAGAAAAATGGTGAACCTAATCAGTAATGGGGTGACAATATAGCTTGAGAAAAATCGGTGACCAAAATATTGACAATAAAGGTCGAATAATGGTGACTAATATGGTCGCCCACAACCAATAGGAGAAATTAGTGTAACTGAGATGACAAAGCTAATATGGTGACAATAAGCCGAAAAAAATGGTGACAACAATACACCTGGTGACAAGAAGGAGAAAAGGTGACAAGACATATAGATAAGTAGAAATAAGGAAATAATGGTGACAGCACTCATTGAGTTGATCGAGAGTGAGAGGTACGAAATGGTGACAGCAATATCGGTGATCAAGATAGTGAGGAAAAATGGTGACAACAATAGTTGCAGGTGACCAATAAGGAGGAAAAATGGTGACAACAAATATGGTGACAAGGAGAAAAATGGTGACAACATATGGTGACCAAATAAGGAGATTGGTTGACATAATAGGTGATCTCCATACCTCAAGTGAGATAAAATGGTTACAGCAATAATGTCGGTGGACAATAAGAGAAAAACTGGTGACACATATGGTTGACAATAAGGGAGAAAATGGTGACATGCAATATGGTGACAAGAAGGAGAAAAAATGGAGTACAACAATATTGGTGGAACAACTTAAGGAGAAAAATGGTGACAGCAATATGGTGAATGCTAATAAAGACCGAGAAAAATGGTGACAGCCAATAATGGTGCGTGAATAGCGCAAGAAAAATGGTGACAGCAATATGGTGACAATAAGGAGAAAAATGGTGACAGCTCTGGCGAATCATGGTAAGCTAATAATGGACGACCGATTGTGTACATGGTGACAACATGAATGTACAATATATGCGTAGAAAAATGGTGAACAACAATATGGTGAGTCCTGTTAATAAGGAGAAAAATGGGTGACAGCAAAAAATGGCTGAACATTAGTATCTACGCGAACGATATATATATTGGATCACCAATATGGCTGACATAAGGAGAAAAATGGAGCACACAATTATGGTGGCAGATCGGAACGCAAAAATGGTGAACAATATGGTGACAATGAAAGGAGAAAATGGTGACAGCAAATATGGTGACAACTAAGGAGAAAAATGGTGACAAACAAATTATGGTGACAATAAGGAGAAAAATGGTGACAACAATATTTGTGACTATTACGTGCACGAACAACATATGGTGACAGTCCATCATTAATGACGTGGTGGGATCCAACCAGCGAGAACAATGGTGAACAGCAATAGGTGACAATAAGGAAGAAATTAATGGTGTATCAATCAATATGGTTGCTACATATAGTTTCTGAGTTACAATCATGGTGAAATCTCAATTTATATGTGACATATGATAGCACGACGAAAAAATAATTGTTGGTTCGAACCATTTTAAATCATTGCGCTGACCATTAAGGCAGTAGAAAATTGACAACCAATATGGCGACACAGGAGAAAAATGGTGACAACAATATCAGTTAACTAAGGAGAAAAATGGTGATCAGCTAAGTATGGTGACTATAAGGAAGTAACAAACTGGTGCAGCAATATGGTGACATCGGAGTAAATGGCTGAAATTGCACAAATGCCATGCTATATGGGATGTACTATATAAGGAGAAAAATGGTGACAGACAATAGGTGTACAATAAGGTAGAGAATTGGTGACAAACAAAATAGAGCTGACAACATAGGAGCAATGTGACAGCAATATGGTGACAAGAAGAGAAAAATGGTGACAACAATATGGTGACAATAAGGAGAAAAATTGGTGACAAGCATATGGTGCAATAAGGAGAAACAATGGTGACAACAATAATGGTGAAATAAGGAGAAAAATGGTGAACAATATGGTGACAATAAGGAGAAAAATGGTGGACAAGCAATATTGGTGACAATAAGGAGAAAATGGTGAAACAATATGGTGACAATACAGTGTGACAGCAATACTGGTGACAAGCATGAGAAAAATGGTGACAACAATATGGTGTAATATAAGGAGAAAAATGGTGACAGCAATATGGTCGGACCAAGGATAAAATTGGTGACCACATAATGCGTCGAACAATGAGGACGAAAAATTAGGTGACCAACAATAGGTGTTATCAGAGGAGAAATGGTGATCTAGCAATATGGTGACAGAGAAAATTTGGTCGACGAACATATCTGGTGACAATCAAGTGAGATATTATGGTGACAAGCAATATGGTGACACATTAAGGTAGAAGAATGTGACTAGCAATATTGGTCGATCACTTAAGGAGAAAAATGGTGTACAGCAAATACTCCGCTGACACATTAATCGCGTAGCAATGGTTGACAGCAATATGGTGACAAAGAAGGCCAGAAAAATGGGTGGACTATATTATTTGGCTGACTAATCTATAGGAGATATACAGATGTGTGACAATTTCAACTCATTCGGTGACAATACATGTGCACGCACACATGGTCGACACAGTTTGGATAAGCAGCAAACTAAGCGAAAATAAATGGTGTACAGCAAATTGACAATTACGAGGGTTGCATGAAATCACTCTGGTGATCACAGCCCACTCACGGTCGCCACACACTCACACGCGACTTGCAAAATCGCCGTGACAACACATATGCGTGACAATACACGCACAACACATGGTGACAACAATCCATGGTGACAATAGCGCGAGAAATCCAACAACCTGTGTCGACAGGAGCAATATGGTTGACAATAGGAGCAACAATAGGGTGACATATGTTGTGCACAACGCATGTATAAATCCGCTGACATATGGTGACAATAAGAGAAGAATGGTGACAGCAAATATGGTGACAATAAGACAAATTGGTGACGGACTACAAATAGAGAGATAACCGGTGGTTGGTCATGTGGACACCTCGGAGTGAGCTCACTTTCCTAGGTGCCACACCTGTCAACAAAAATGTTCGGTGAGAGAACACCCTACTGGAACATATGGAGGAAAGAGATCGGTGACTCATATGGCTCGTACAATTCAAGGCAGAATTAAATTGGTGACCAAGCAATGATGTACAGATAGGAGTAAAAAGTGACTAGCAATAGGTGTGACAATGAAGGGAGAAAAATGCGCGCATGGGGAGCAGATGGTAGGTATTGCAATTAAGGGAAAAAAGATAAATGGTGCAGAGCAAGATGAGGGTTCCGATTCAATTAGCTAGAAAAGAGTGGTGAGTCAGCTTCGAATCACGAGAGTATTTGTTTATTCGTAAATAGAGTGAGAAAGACTCGCGATGAAGACGAATAGCTATTGAGATGTAATGCTAATGATAAAAGAGAAGAAAGTAAAGTGGTTGACAAATATATGTGGATAGTAGCAATAAAGTGAAAAAATGGATGACAAACAGAGGATGGATGACAATGTACGAAGAAAAATGTGGTGAAATGAGCAACATATGGTTGACATATTAATTTGGCCGAAGCACACACGACACAATGACGCACGATAGCGCACCAGAACAAACATAATGTGACAGAAGGAGAGAAAAATTGGAATGGCACAAACCAATACTAGTGCATCGACCAATCAAAAACGAGAGCAAACAAAGCAATGGGACAACATTTATACTGGCTAGACCACTAAAGCGAACACAAAACACTGGATGACCACAGGCAATATGGTGACAACAACTCACACGACAGCAAAAACACATGACACACCCAGCTGAACACCACAATCAACACACACCAATACTACACATATGGTTGACAATAAGGAGAAATGGATGCCACCAACATCATAATTTGACTGCGTATGAGTGTGGTGGTCATGAAGTGTTGGTGATGATGTGGGTGATGCTGTAATAAGATAGGTGTGGGTGGACTGTACAATTACCATGCTAGAGAATTAACCGTACATGTCATAAGTAACATTACATGTTATTTTACTATAACCAAATTCATAGTGACATATAATTACGAGAGTATATATAAACACAGCATATGCAATTATACCAAAAAAATCTACCCCACACGGGGCTAACTGAACAAAGCATTAAGCACAAAACATCCATCTACTTAGTGTATTAGATACGAAACAACGGAATAATTAATGTTAAGAGCAGAGTGAATGAAGGAATTAAATTTAATAATAACAAGTATTAACACACAAAATATTCACTTTGTAAAATTCTAATCTTCTGTTTCACTCTCTCCCTCACCTTTTTCACTTCGAAAATACCTACTGGTTCTCTCTTCAATAATTACCTATTAAGCCAAATTAGATCAAAACCACACAACCCCACCACACAGAAAACAAAATATTCAACAGAAAGATCATAACATTGTGGGTTCATGCCCTCCCGTCCGGACTTCTTGCAGAATCGGTCGAGGTGCCCTATAATCAAAGGTTATCCAATATATTACGCGATGTATATTAGTGCGTACAACAGCCAGAATGGTTGCAACCTGGTGCGGCGCGAGCGAGTGGCGCAGACGCGAGCTGCAACAACACCACTAGTCAAACATCCCACACGAAAGGTTTGGAGACGTCAAAAGGCACATGTGTAAGAATGTGTTAGGAGAGTTTCATCTATTGAATTATATTTTTTCGTATTATAACTGTGTGACCTGATCTGCTCGCTCTAATAAATCGAATGATATCGTGGTAGCGGTTTTCACTGACTATATCATCGCAAACCCGGACTCCACGCGCGTATGAGTTTTTACCTATCGTCGCTCATCATTAATAGACGCTGCGGTAATATCACTTTCACTCATTGATAT